TTTAAACCTCTTGAAAACAACCTTCGTTTGTTACTTGTCTTTTAAGTTATTTCTTTTACTTTTAAAACCCCCTCTTGTTTTAGCTATATTTTGATCCCATAAAGATAAAGTGTAGGCTGGTCCTCTGGAATTGAATCTAAATATATTACAATTACACTGTTAACTTGACAGTAGACAAAGATCCAATTTTAGTGTATCATGGTACTCTCTAGTTCCTAGTTAGGTGATTAGATTAGGTGGTTAGTTTAGGGAATTTAGATTAGGTGGTTAGTTTAGGGAATTTAGATTAGGTGGTTCGTTTATGAATTTTAAATTACGTTTGTTTAACTGTTTATGTTTTTTTTTTTAATTTAGATGGTTAGACAGAGCAAAATTGCTGCTGCTCAGTCCAAGAGGCCTGTAGCTCAGACCGGGATTCATTATGCGGATATATTCGGGTCCGGGTCGTCTTCATCAGCGGGCGGTGGTTCAGCTTCAGGAGTTCCCGAGATCCAGGGCGGTTTTACAGTATCCCAGTCTCAGCAGCCTCCTCAGCATCCTCCTCAGCAGCCAGCTCCACCTCCTCCTCCTCCTCCTCCTCCTCCTCCACCGGTCGGGATTCATCCTGACTTGCAGGTGCCTCCCAACGCACCATTTGCGGTGTACACGGTGGAGGATATCTTGGCCCTTCCAGGCAGAGAAGGGCTGCCAGAGTTAGATCCTTTCCGACGTGATGGCCAAAACGTATTATGGTACGTTTTAATTTTTACGTTTTTTTATTAAATAATTTTTAAAAAGTGTTATGATATGTATATATATATGTTCTAATTAATGATTTATTTTCTGTCTTTCCAGGTTTGGTCTTGACAATGCTGTCGGATCTAGCGTCACGGACTGCATCAAGGGATACTTTCCCGATGCAGCTCCAAACTGGAAGCTGACGGCGAGCCACACCAAAAAGACGTGGTTCAAATCGTTCGCTGTAAGTAATTTAGTAAATCAATTTAATTTATTTATAATCATTTAAAATTATGAATTTTATTGAACTAATCCGTCTTTTATTTTTTCTGGTTGCAGCAAAAATACCGTTGGTCTATNGAAACCCGATTGCCTCACAACCACGGTGTGGGATGGCCTCATCAGCTATTGGACGTTGCCGGATTCGATCCGAACGTCCAATACAAACTCCGGGAACCGCATGGCCACGGACCAGCATGGCAACACGAAGACACTTCACACCACGGGCCGAAAGCCTCACGGGGGAGTTCGTCTAGACATGGTACGTATTTTTTTATAATTAACTATAAAATTTTTACTTTATTTTAATATTCTAATATTCTAAATTAATATTTAATCTAAAAAAATGCAGGCTAAAGAGACAGGAGTTCTTCCGTCTCTGAAAGACCTTTACGAGCGGACCCACCGGAGGAAGAGTGGGCAGTTTGTAGATCCTGCTTCCGAGCGGATCTACAACGAGGTTGCTGCCCGAGTTGATGAGCGCCAGACCCAGTTGACTCAGCAGACTGGGGCTCCGGTCGTATTATCCACTCTTGAAGTGGATAAGATTTACGAGGAGGTAAATAATTTTAATATATTAATTTTTATTATTTATTTAATTTTATTGTTTCGGTTTTTAATATTTTAATTTACAAGTCGTTCCGAGGAAAAAGAGCCGTGTTATCGGGATTGGCTCGGTTAACGATGTCCCGGCAGTGACATCGGCTTATGTTCACCAACAAGCCGATGACAATGCTCAGATGCGGACGGAGTTGCAGGAAACACGGGCTCATGTGCGTACGCTCACGGGTATCCTCGACGTTGTGGCGCTAACAAACCCGCAACTGGCGGAAGTGTTGCGTGAGAGACGGGAAAGCGGAGCCCTTCCATCCCAGCAGCCCCCACCATCTCAGTCACAGCCGGCATCCAACGACCCTGGAGACGACTTCGTGAACCAATTTGATCAAGACCAACATCATTTTTAGTTTTTTATTAGTTTTTAATTGTATATTATGAATTTTAAAACTTATTAATTGTATATTATTAGTTATTTATAAATATTTTTTTATTTATTTTTTTAATTTTTTTAAATATATATAAATTTAATTTATAAATATTTTTTTAATAGGAAAAAAATGTTTCGAAGTAAAATCCTCGTAAAGGTTTCGAAGTAAAATCCTCGTAAATAGTCCTAGCAAAGTCCTCGTAAAGTGTCTACTAGGAGTTTACGAGGAATTGGTTTACTATGCACTTACGAGGAAAGTATACGTGGAGCTTACGAGGAAATATTTTCCACGGCTTTACGAGGAAACCTTCCCTCGTAAATTAGCTAGGCCTTTACGAGGAAAATTGGCTTTACGATGAACGTTTTTCGACGAAACACGTTTCCTCGTTATTTCCTAGTAAAGGGCCATTTACTAGGAAATAACGAGGAAAACCCGTCCTAGTAAAGGACGTGTTTTCTTGTAGTGCAACGAAAATTTAACCAAAGTGAAAGATAGGAATATACCAATGACTATTTCGTGACTATTGATGCATAGTCCAAGACTTCAAGCTCATTTAGTCGTTGTTAATTAAGCTCGATAGTTTTCTGAAAATCTATATTGATGTGCTCAAAACACCTTTTTTTTTGCTAAGATCGTAAATATCATTAATGTAAATGAAAGTTTGGTTACAAGATTAATTGCAACCCAACAATACACTTTTTCTGAGCACTCTAGGTTATGAATATCTGTAACAGGTATGTGGCGAAAATAAAATAAAGAAAACTTAATGAGTGCATAGCAAGATGGATAGGTTTCCTTGAATCTCACTGACACTTCGAATTCGTTGTGTCTTTATTAAAACCTATGAATGTGAGGAGACACAAAAGTCAGCGGAAATATCGAAGTGAAGTAAACAAAGAGCATATGTTTGCTCTCTCTTTCTCTTGAGGATTTTTTTTTTCTGACCAACAAGTATGGAGCAAAGCTCTGGTTTTTAATGTTTGTTTGTTGTCAAAGGTTTTCTTTTTACTCTTGGGAAGGTAAAAAGAGATTGCAACTGTTTTACTTGGACTTCTATTCATTAATTCGAAAGACAAACGAGCAAGTACATTTTCTCTGCGCCATCCTCTATATAAATGTGCCAATATGTTCCTTTTATATATGGTGTATCTAGTTGTGTATATCGACACCAATAACCGTTTTATATATATATAACAAGCTTTCATGTAAAGGGATGAATATGATAATCGTAATTGCCATTCCCGTAAACGTTTTTTTTTTTTTTTTTTTTCCCGTAAACGTAAACGTTTTTTAATCAAAACTAAACGTACAGTGTTACTAGTTATATACATTCTCGTTATGATAATGGGTCATTTGAGGAGATACTATATGTTTACATAGAGATAATTTACAAACCAAAAACAAAAGTATAATTGAATACGTTTTGTCAATCATCTTATTAATTAGCATTAACTAGAATAATTAGCCATAGAATCAAGGTTTTTGTACTGAATAATTGTTGAAAATGGTCCCATATTATGCACACATGCAAGCCACGCATACATATACATATACAAACTGATTTCAAATATATGCAGTAGTTTCTCAACGGCTCAACGCAAACAAATGAGAGTAACGTTCAGTGTAAGGTATATATGCATGTAAGATAAATATGTGCCCCTTATATAAAAATGAGATGAATATGTGTGAGAGATGCAACAATGAAGTACACTCATTATTCATATTTGATCTATAATATATAATACATTGTGTGTATACAAAGACAAAATCCATAGTAATGATAACACTATTTAAATAGAGTTTTCATGGCGTCATGGTTTTTATTCCCAAAAAATGCCCGGCCAGAACTTGCATACAACCAAACTACAAATCAAGACCTTATTATTATATATACGAAATGATAACATATAAATATATAAATATATGGTGGTACACAACTCAACCTAACCGTTATGATTATTCCACAACCTTTTCTCGGTCAACAACAATATATATTAATATATATATTATATGGCATCCTAACAAACTCTTACTTGATATCCATTTTTACATATAAACACTTTCCATAATTGCAACATTACTCACACTTTATAACATAATTTAGTTACCGCTAATGGAAATGTAACCTGATTTAAAGCAACTCTCCTCCTCTACCGCCGAAATCTGGCGGTGGTGGTGGCGAAATCCATGAAGTCTTCACCGCCTGAGAAGCTTGATCTTGCGGTGGAGGAGGACTATCAAGAAGCCGGATCTGCCGTTTCAAGAACTTGACGTAGCGTATTGCTTCGTCGAGCATTGAAGCTGTATCCATCTTGGTACCACCAGGCACAAGTCTCTGTAGGATTCTGATCCTCTCGCTGATTCTCTCACGGCGGTGTCTCGCCGCCACGCTTTGAGGGTCGTCGGAGATTCTAACGTTTCGGCGTTTGGGTTTCTTGACGGTTGCTGGATCGATGTCGACGGGCTGCATGGCTGCGATCTTGTACATCATCTCTTTCATAGCACTTAGTTCCTCTACAGGCTCTTCTTCTTCCTCTTCGTTGTCTTCTTGATCTCCAGAGAAAAGAGTTGTGGTTGCAAAGGAAGAAGAGAGAGGAGGGAAATGAGAATGAGAAGAAGATGAAGTGATGAAAGGATTGAAGATGTGGAGGTGGGTGTGTTGGTCCATGGCCATACCGATTGGATCGTTATGATGATGATCATCACTCATCTTGTTGTTGTTGATGATGTTGTTCCAAGTGTAATTTTGGAAGAGAGATGGGTTCATATTATTATTCATACTTTTATGTCTGTTTGATTTGTGAAATTGTTAAATGCCTTTGAGGCAGATATAATATATATATAATGTATGTATGTGTGTCTGTAAATGTGCATCCCTATAGTTTAAAGAAAGGAAGAAAAAAAGAAAAGGTGATCATCATATGATGAGGGGTTAGGTTGGTGATGCAATAAAGAAATTTTTTGGTGCGAATAAAAAATATATGTAATTTAAGAATTGTATAGATGTGTTTTTCCAATAAGTGGACGTCACTGGCCTCTGTAATAAAAAAAAAATTGCAAACATCAAATTCTCTAAAATGTTTATAGTTGTTCTATCAATTATGTAAATAAATAGTTTGCACTATTGCACACAAGAAAAGCTTTTTGGAATTCTCTAACGAGATTATTCTTTTTAAAGGCTAGATAGAGCTAATTAATGTTGTCAATCACACAAAACCTCTCATTCATTTTATAGGATTTACATTATTACATTAAAAATCAGAATAACAGAGTTAGCTAGGGTTTCAATCTCTCACATTAAGACTTATAATTAGTGTAGATTGAGAAGTGGCTTTCACCAAATTAAAGTAGTAACTAATAAAGATGTGAATTACTTTATATGAACATGAGTTTCTCCTTGATTCTTAAAAGATGTCACCACTTGTGTGCTCTTATTCTGACTTCTCAATTTTCAAGCTCTTTATCTCATTCTCTTTCCGCAAACCCCATTCATCTCAAATTAGGAAATATTGATAAATTTTCTCTCATTCACTTGTCTCTTCACTAAATAGCACATTTTGTCGATCGTATACTCATATTCCAATCAACGGTCGTGAGTATCTCTCCCCCTCTCGATAAAGTACAATACTGAATGTGAATCGTGTGTGAGACTCTCAATGCTAATTTAAAGCAAATATCAACTTGCATTTTCTCCACGTACGAGTTATATATATGTTTGCGACGTGGTTAAAGGGATACAAAGATCACATCAAATCACTCGCATGGGGACATCTTCATCAAGATTTGGGTGTTATCCATGATTGTTGTTAACAAGAAAGACGTGTATCATCGTCGTGGCTCGTTATATAAGAGTGGATATATCATTTTCCATGAAGAAAATTCTTCACCTTATTTCAAAGTTATACATCTACGTAACTCGTTCATGTATAAAAATGTATATAATATACACAAATTCTTAAAATACACGAAAGTTTTATGAGACTTCAAAAGAGGGAGGGGCGCTCTCGTTTCTTGATTAGTGTTCCAATTGACTAACTGTTATCTTATAATATATCAGACGGCCCTGTGACAAGTTTCTTATGTCATATCTCATCTCAAAAGCAAAGAATATATATAATATATGTACATCTAAATGTATCTAAATACATGAGAAGGATATGTATTTTTTGCACATATGTTATGATTTGGTCTGCATTATATACAAACTGCAAATTGCGCATGCAGGCTGCAATCATGCATGATAGGGTTTCCTTCTTTGGTATTTATCCATTGTTCCTTGTATCTTATTTTTATTAAAGCCACCCAACCGCCAACTATATATACATGTACATTTGCATACAAGTTTTGATCATTTGTTTAGGTACGTAGTGTATCAATATAATTATAATATATAAATGTACAGGTCTATATATATATATATATATATATATACTTATGCATTTAAATTGTATTAAGATTGTGTAGTTTTTTTTTAAATTGTAATAAAACTGTGTAGTTATGTTTTTCCATGTTAGTGCTAGTGTATTATTGTTTATTAAAGAAAATTGCAAATAATCGAGTTATATATAGTGAAGATTATTGGCTATAAAATCTCGATATATTTTGAACATTAGGGAAAACGGATCTCCTAAATAAATAAAATTGAATGCAACTAAATATTTTCTACTCGGATCAGTTATCGCTTGATTAACTCTTTGATATGGTTGAACGTGTTGATATCCCATGAGGGTTAGCTCTCTCCTTTTTTCGTTCGTATATAAAGTGTAACTGTAAGCCCTAACTAGATCGATGGATCTAATGTAAATGTATATATGTAGTACATATATTCACGTGAGTGGGTGAAATAAATGTGTAACATTTTCCGAGGAAGATTGAATCATAAAATCTGACACGCTCTCCATTATATTCAAATTCAACTAAATTACCGCGTATATAAAAGAATTGAATAACCACCTCTCTCTCTTCATATATATTCATCAAAATCAAATGTGTTATGTCTATCATATTAATAGGGGATAAAACAATCGCGTGACGTTTTCCCAAAGACAGACCCTCATTTCCTCAGAGTCCGGTCTCTTACAGCGACTTCTCTTTTTCTCGCTTTTTACCTCTTTCTGCTGCACCATGGAGAGGAAACAAACAAATAGAGACTGATTGTTGTATGTATCTGAATTTGAACAGTTTGTAATTTTCTGATTGCATTATCTCAGTATCGAAATTATTGGTGCTAAACGTAAATATTATATTAATTATGAAAGGAAATTACAAAAGTAAGTCCTAAAGATATACCACCCCGGCAAAAAAAAAGATACAAAAACCAAGGTAGACCTCATCAGCATCGGATTTCACCGATCGTATTATTGGACCAATAATTGGGGATGATTAATAATTATCAACCGAAAATAAGTCAGTTTAGTGATCCAGGTGGAAAATAGAGTTAGGATATATAGATAAACCCAAATAATTCGATTTAAGAACCAAAATCATGACTATGTTAATACTTAACATTCCATAGAAGTCTAATATAGGTTTTATAACTCGATGGCAGTAAGTCGAACTATTGAGTATTTTCTCTCCAACTCAAGAATTCATAACTTACATTATCAAAATAACTTTTATTGAAGTACTCATTCAATTTGTGCTATATATTTTAGCATAAGAAATTTATATAGACTTTTTTCTACGTCCAACAGTTTTTAGACCCAACTTGTTGCTCTATTATACCACAGTTTTTTTGCGAGACACAATACCACTTAGTTTTCAAAATTTAATTATATGATTGAATATTTACCATGAATTTTGCTTATGTCTATATTTTCCTGCAAAAGGTTCAATTACAGTGGATTCTTAAACAACTTCGAATCCACAAAGATGAATAAATTTCTGTAATATCCTCCAAATCCAGCTATGATACTTAACTACATTTATAAATATTTTGGAAATGTGATTTCTACATACAACCTGTGTCAAATATCTTGGTTATATGACAAATTTGATTCCAGAAACGATTTGTCATACATTTTGACGATTTTTGTATTATTTTCTGTTAATTTTTGCAAGAGGATCTATAAGTCTAAAAAAGTGATTACAAGGCATGGGCAGATGCAGTGGAGAAAGTGAAGAAGTCTCTTGTTTGGCCCGAAAGTGGTGTGATATGGAAAGCTCTTTAATGAGTTTTTCATTTTATTTTTTTTATTCGAGACTCTTGTTATTTCTCTTTAATTATTTGGAAAATTAAATGGACGAAGTTAACTTCAGTGTTTTTTATTTGCTTGGAGGAATTATAGTTAGTATCCATTCATGTACACACATATGCATGAATTATAGCCGTATACATGAGACAAGGTTGTTTTAAATTATTCGCATACAAATTGATTCTTTTTTTGTGAAGAATATGATTTCTGTTTTCTATTTCAGAACATCGCATCATATACGTATATCTCTCACTATCTTTTGTCCAAAAAATATCAGTGTCATCTTCCAAAACATATATATGTAGTCAATCTAGACATTATTGAAATGTTGCTAGCTATTTCATACAATCTGAATCATAATATAAACGAACCAAAATGTAAAAGAACTTGGTTACTATATATGTAAGATGTAATTTGTAAACAAGAAGAGAAACCAATACGTAATTATGCGTTTTATAGTTTGTGTGCATGTTTAGCAGTAACCTTGTTTATTTTGTTGGAATTCAAGGCTGGTCCGTATCCACACTATGGATCAATTAAAAATAATAATCCAAATGGTTTTAAGTCCGAAAATAAAAAACCCTAAGGTCCCAAACCATATTCATACTACATTGGAGGCCGCATAACCTTTTGGGTTTAGCCCTAATTCACATGCCTAGCCAGGACTTACACGTGGATTGCTAATTGTCTCCCTTGAACAGTGCCGATCTAAAAAATTTAAATGCTTTTATCAATTTCTAAAAATCACTTTCTTATACTTTTATCCAATAGCACATAGAATATAAAAACTATATTACAAATTCATTAAAGTTAACTTTATGAAGTTAACTAAATATGGGCCCGTGCGTTGCATATATTTTATTTGATGCTTTAATATTTGTAAAATATATAAAAGTAATAATTCATGTTATAGTTTGAGGATTTGTTTTGCATATGTTGTGTAAGATTTATTTTAGAAATTAAGAATTTGTTTTCCAATAAAGTTCCGGTTAGTATTTGTATTTTAATTAACACATATTTTATTTGATGTTTTAATTTTGTATATGTTGTGTGAGATATTTCAGCATATAAAATTTGTTTACCCATATAAATTGTTGTTAATATTTTTATTTTAATAATCATGGCGCATAAGTGAATTGTTTTTAAATTTATACTTAAGGCCAGAGAAGATACACATACCTTAAATTTTAAACCAAATATAATTCAAATTAAAAATTAGAGTGAAATAAAAAAATTAAAAGTAAAAAAGGTCAATCAAGTTAATGATAATATCATACACATATCATACACCTGTTATGTACCGATTTAACGTTTGTTTTAACTTAGTATATGTTATTCTTATTGTTTAAATATATTCTGATGTTTATTGGTTGCCAGTGAAATTTTTATTGTCACGGTAAGATTTTTTAAGTTTTTATGCATTTGTGACCATCAATATTTTTTAGTTACGTGATTTTTAATTTTTAATTATTCAACCATATAAATAATTTTGATCATCACTTTTATCATGTAATTAGTGATAATAAAACTATCAATGCATATGTATCTTATAGCCACAAAAGTTTATGTGCATGTTGAAGACTCTAAACAACAA